TATGCATTATTTTTTTCTGCTGCATATTTTAAAGCAATTTATCAAAAGAATAAACCTTGAGTAAAGAGGGCTTTTTTTACTATGTTCTTTTATCAAAACCAGGAAGTTTTGAATGTGTGCACAGTATTGGCTGGTTACTTAACGATTCTTTTATCTGGTATCATTTGCCACACATCCAATCGACCCATCAAGAATTTGGAGTGAAAAATAAACCTCATAATTTTTTTTCATTTTTGTGCAAGAGTTATCCAATTAATTATAACCTGATATCTAGATTTCTCATCGGAAATGCCTTCCTTGTCATAATATTCAACTTCGTAAGTCGTTATTTTTGAGAACAAATTAAATTTTGAAAGGGAAAACAAAATATGCATTAAACGAACCCAGACTATTCTTTTTTTTTATTTTGTTCACTGAATTCAAACTAATCAGAATGTTAGCTATTAGTGTTGTAGTGTTATAAACGTATTCTTGAAGCATTTCCCCATTCTTTTTAGGAATAAATTGCATATATAGGCACAAACATATCGCAGTTGTATATAACCTTAAATATACTTGTCGCACTTAGCTTACCCATTTATGGGTTACATATAACACTTCGTACTGTTGTGTATTTTGTTTTCATGAAATATGTATTCATCTAATTGGCTCAAAGTAATGAGGAAACTGAAGACACTTTGCTGAACACCTTTTAACAAAACAACAGGTTCTTTTACAGTCCAATCAGATGATAGATGAACCGATAATAAGGTTATGCAAGGAAGTTTGAAAGGAATCATATACTAGTATTTTACATGTTGATTCTCCAGTGATTTTCATTTGTCTATAAAATATAGAGAAAACGAACAGTAATAAATCTCAAAGTCCAGAACAATACAAATCGTGAACAGAGCAAACATGAACCTCTAAAAGCATCAGAGATGACATCAGCCGCCATGGAGGAGTAAGCATTCCCTGTCGACCCGTCACACGCGCCTCGTGCTCCTTGTCATGATCGGGAAAAACGGAAAAATCCGTAAATAATTCAGTGTGTCAAAAATGGGCTAACAATTAGTATAAAAAAACGTCAGTCAGCATTCGACTTAATGATAGATTGTATTTGATGTCAAAGTCATTGTATCGACCATAGAACTTCCGAAAAGTAATTTAAACTCCAATGATGAAACATTTGCATTGGTGATGCATCAAGGGATTCGCAGTGTCAGATTTGTTTAAGAAACTGAATCTGACCTACACTTTCCAGATGAGTTAAAGTTTAAAGTTTTGAAACATGTCTATTTCCAAATACATGTAACTATGAACTTAAGATGACCAAACTCCCATGAATGATGCATTTAGTGATGCATTAATGATGAATCTAGGAATGTACACTTACTGCTGAGCAAAGAATTATTAATAGTAAATCATTAGAATTATTTAGATCAAGCTTTTTTATACTTCCCTATTAACAAATCTAAAAACATGTTTGGATTGTAGTTAGATGTCAAAGTTTCACAGTTGTTTTCGCCTCTGGTTTTTTCCTTGGGATCTGTGTTTTTGTCCTGTTCGCTACTTGTTTTGTTTGCTGAATTTGTGAGATTGATCCTGTTTATTATCTTCACCTTTTATATTTAGAACATACAGTAGAGCCTCGTTAACCCGGATACTTGTGTTGTCAAGCAAATCGTCCGGATTAATGAAGCGTTCGGGTTACTGAAATAGACTTATCATAATTGGTTGATAGAAATATTAATTATCCCCCCCCCCCCAAAAAAAAAACAGCATCCGGATTATTGGCGTCAGAATCAACGAGGCTCCACTATATACTTTTTGTTTGATTTTTATGCCCCCGTAGCGAAGATTCTTGGGTATATAGTTTTTACCCTGTGCGTTCGTCTGTCTGTCTGTCTGTCTGTTTGTCCGCAAAAACTTTAACCTTGCCCATAACTCTTGATTGGTTGGAGCTTTGGCTTTCATATTTCACATGTATATTTCTTGTGACAAGACCTTTCTTTGGGCACCACCGTATTTGACCTTGACCTTGGAGTTTGACCCAGTTTTGCAAAATTTTACCATACTTTAACCTTGGCCATAACTTTTGAACGGTTGGTGCTAGGGCTTTCATACTTCATATGTGTAATTCTGGTGACAAGACCTTACCATGGATTTCAACAACTTTGACTCTTTGACCTTGACCTAAGAGTTTTACCTACTTTTGGAAAACTTTAACCTTGACCGTAACTTTTGAACGGTTGGTGCTAGGACTTTCATACTTCACATGTGTGATCCTTGTGACAAGACCTTTTTTTGGAAACCAACAACTTTGACCCTCTGACCTTGACCTTGGAGTTTGACCTACTTTTGGAAAACTTTAACCTTGGCCATAACTTTTGAACGATTGGGAACTTCTGCTTTTATATTTCACCTGTGTATTTCTGGGGAGATGGCCTTTTCTTGGGCACCATTAATTTTTGACCATTTGACCTTGATGTTTGACATACTTTTGAAAAAAAAATTAACCTTCTGAGTTTTCCATATCTATTCAATGGTTGCTGCTAGGGCATTCATATTTCACAGGTTTATTCCTCGAGACAAGACCTTACTTTGGCTACCAACATATTTGATTTGCATTTGAGAAAGTTTAACCTTTCCTATAAGTTGCCATACTGGCGTATCAGTGTTTCACAAACACATCTTGTTTCTAGATGTTTAACTCTTATTTTATTTTATAAAAAGGTGAATAAAACGAAAAGTAATCAATCTTATAAATCCTTTAGACAATACGATTTGTGAACAGGCAAATGCACGGACCTTAAGCAACACCAGAGGTGGGATCAACTGCTTCGGGCGAGTAAACATCCCCTGCTGACTGGTCACGCCCCTCATTGATTAGGTAAATGGAATAATCCGTAGTCAAAATTGGCATAAAAACAATGGCCTAACAATTAGGAAATATGCCAGTCAAAATACGACCCAACTGCAAAAAAAAGTTCATTATGTACAATGACCATAGAATTTGATAAATGCTGATTCACAAGATCTGAAATTTTCCGAATTCCATTTTAATTAATGGAGCAGTTGTCCATGATGTCAAAAAGACTTATAATGAATTTATTTACTTTCTCATGTATCTTATGCGCAATTTATAGTTATATAATTTGATAGCTTTAAGTGGCTGTCAGATAGTAAGGGAAAAATCATATTGTAATTTTAAAGTAAATTAATATTCCTATACATATGAAAAACCAAGCACATCTGTGTGTTATTGTGTTTCTTAAAACCTTATGGGGCGAGACATATTGGTTTTCGCCGGTCTGCCTATCTGTCACAAAATTGTGTCGGTCCATATTTCTCGAACACTTAATTAGAATGGGTAAATCATATGATGCTGCCCATGCTCTAAAGGTATGCAACAATTTTCATTCAAGGTATTATCTTAAAGGTCAGGGTCTCATGTTAATGAGGCAGTATTACTATTAGATACTTTTGAACTTTTTATCACCATGCTTTCAAAGTTCATTGTATTCTTCATTATGACCTAAAAAACTTTGTAAGTATCTCTTCACCCGAGGCCATAGGTCATGATCACTGAACAAGACATTGAAATCATATCAGAGACATAACTCTAGATTGAAATGAAAATTTTTGAATATTAATTATGTTGGTGCCACTGTCCCACACGTGATTTGTAGTCTTGACTTATTATCATTTCACAAAGGTCAAAGCTATTTGAAATTGGTGTGTCAAGTCCACAACATTATAAGACATAGACTATAGTATGAATGCAAACTTCCGTGTCATAATCATAATGACTTGAAGGTGTGTCGTGATCTTGACTCTAGGTCAAATCTAAGATGTCAAGAACCTAAAGGTATAGGGATGGCCAGAATATATATTGTGAAGGTCAACTCTTTTCTTCAGATAAAACAATACCTTTTTTAATTTATCTAATAATGATAAAAAGCACCATCGTAAAGTTTTTTGCAACATACTAGGTACTAAAATTATTCTAGAATCGATGTAACAAATGCAGTCTATTCCCTCTAATATTTTTCTTTACTGGATAAAATTATGAAATAAAAAAAGCAGAACAATACAAATGACTCTTGAATGCCGGTATTTAACATTAAAAGATTTCTAACTCATTTACCAAATGTTTCTCATGGCTTCCTTCCTCTTGGTGAAATGTAATTGAATCAAAATCAAAACATTTTTATGTCACGATAAGCAATATATAAGATTTTAAACTCTAACCTCGCTATGACTATAAAAATCCGTCATTGCTTAATGACTAGATTTTGGGGATTTGATATTACACAAGATATTGACATAAACTACGAATACGGGAATCAGCATTTAACAGCTGTTCAAAGGTTTTCATTCATTTCAAAGATGTGGTCAAGGCACGACTGTTTCCATTGCTTAGTTACGTTTACCTATGATGTAAATCCAAATTCAAGATTTGGAGTACACGGTTATGAACAAAATAAAGCTGTTCCTATAAGTTATGGTCTGATCAATAAACATGCATAGGACAGACACTCAAGCCTGGTAAAGTAAATATCTGATAAGCAAAAGTGTAGACATCAGAGATGTTTGTAAGGAATTCACATCAGACAGAAAAATTTTGTCTTTTTTAAAACCATTTTATTTCAAAAATACTTTAATACATACTGTATTTTGAAAATTTTATTTCATGGAGTGATTTTTTTCAAAAAATTAAAACATTGTCATTACAATAATTTATATCTTTCCATGATGGAGTTAAATTTTAATAAAGTCCTACAATAATTTATGTCTTTCCATGATGGAGTTAAATTCGACTAAAGTCCTAAAGACTTGCTTTTGTAAAAAAAAACAAAAAAAAAAAAAAAAACATATATATTGAATTTCACTTGTGATTTTTATAGACCTGCTTAAAATGCGCTTCTGGTGCTAATCGCCACATTCACCAAGTGCTGATCCTAGTGATTGTTGATTTAATTGGTTACTTCCCATCAAAGTGACCACTGTACAAGTGATCATATCCTTACGCCCTTCTCTTCCTCAAGTTTGCTATAAGGATTTTGAACTGTGCCGATTTTGGTCAAGAACATGTTCCGAAGTTTGTTATTTCCTCCTTCTCCAGATTCCTCTTTAGCGATATTCTTCTTCGCCATTCTCTTTTTGACCGTCAAGCAACTGGATAATTGATTCAAACATTAAATATATTAGCATTGATCTTGAAAAACTAAATACAATTCATATTCTAATCATGAAAATATCAAAGCCCTATAATGAATAATAGATTTTTTTTTATATTAAATTCATTTCATTCGGATTCTACAGAGACAACACTAATGTGTTAACAGCAGGAACCATGTAAGTAATAACTAACCATAATAAAGCAAATAAAATGAGGACCACAACTCCTGCCATCGAAAATACACCCATGAAAAACATGTTCCAGGATCCCCTTTTGCGGTAAGACCTATACGTTCTGATGAAGTTGTTAAATTTTTCATCGTTGTCATCTATCTTGGTAAGAAACTGAGGATCACTAATAAATGGAGCATCGTCCATATCATCATCGATATCATCATTATTATCATCATCATCATTATCTAAATTATTCTCTCCCTCTGGTCCTTCGTCTTCTTTTCCCTCCTCTTTCCCTTCTATTGTATCGTTATCGGGTTGATCTTTGTCCTCCTTTACAAACTTATCATGAATGCTTACCATCATTTTGTGTAAGAGTCCGTTTTCTGAAATGAAAACCACACAATCTTTTACATCTTGTCTGTATGTTTATAATATCTTTAGATTCAATTTAGATTTAATTTATAAATCATATTGTGTTCAAATTAATGTAAATTATTTTGGAAAAGCTAACAAATTAAGAATTTTTTCAATATAATTTAATTTTTAATTTGTGTGAATGACGGTTAGAGAAGGAAACATACCAAATAAACAGATATGTTTTTCGAATTTTGGAAACTCCATACATTTAGAGGAACCAGCACACTCGTTCTCAGAGATGCATGTCTTTGCCAAGTGAGCAGAGTTTTTGCGAAGCATCCTACGTACAAAAGCTGCAACATATAAAGCAATGTTTTAAGTATTAGTATTCTTCTTTATATAATACAAGAAGGATAATTGTAATAAATAAATCAAGAGTGAAGTTATTAATGTATCTCTTAGGTATCATCTTCACGCACCTGGCATACACATGCGTACTCCTAAGTTCTGAACTTCTTCACATTTCCCTACATTGTTACAGTCGCTGTCGACAGAACAACTTTCCAGAGATGGCAACTGGGATATTTTTTTTTCCATCATATCCACCATTTTTTCTTCAAAGCAAAATATGAATAATCTATCTAGGCTTGTGAAAGATAATGTCTTGCTTCTCATTTTACAATGTAATTTTAATGCTAGCAGTATTAATTTAAAATAAATCACCAAACATTTTTGTAAAATAAATCTTTTATTTTATTTCATTTTATAAAAAACAGAGTTGTGATCATACTAGGCAAACAGATGCTTTTATCCATTAATTCCATATTAACACATGTAGCAAAACTGGGGCAATCTGATTCGGAGGAACAAATTAACTTTGGAAGTTTTGGAAACCTTTTCCCTCGTGATCCCTCTCTCCTCTGGCGGCCTACAAAAATAAAATAGTCTTCACGATGATGTAGTACATTGGGGTTAACGGAGAATTGACGGGAGTCGGAATTACCGCTACATTGCGAAAATTTTCAAATCGTTACCGCTACATTTTATCAATAAGATTATTGGCGATTACAACTCATTAACGCTACATATTCGAATTTGCTAGCATTGGCACGTAATATGAGTTTTATTCAGTATAATTCACTCACAATGTAGTGACGTACAATTTGGATCTGAGTTCTATTAAGGAATAATTGTCTTTTTATTTCCTTTTTTTTCGATGTGATAAATCGATTGGCTTGCGAGATAATTTGCATAAACGCTGAAGGCGTTTATGCATAAAATCATCACTCAAGTCAATCGCTTGATCATCATCATAAAACAAAAAAAAATGACAGTTATTCCTTGTATTAATTTGACTCTGTAAATTCACGTGCTCGATCCTAGCCCCGCCCACTTCTCTTACTCCTTTTTTTAGCCACGCCTCTCGATGGACCAATAGCTTTTTAAAGAAACCTAGGTTTTTATCATTTGCAGTTTTATTTCGGACAAAGAAATTTGACAATGTAAATATATCAATATGATTCATTCAGTCTGTAGTTGAAATACAATTATTTAGCGGCAGCTGAACGTCATGGCTACTATTGATAAGTTTGTAACAAATCGCGACAATGCAATATAGTCATTAATGGACATAAATTCCGTATAAGAACAATTCTCGGTTTTAAAATCCTACATTTAATGAAATTGTTTTTTTTTAAGTGAAAAAAACATCGTGCTCAAGTTCTACTTTCACCTCTCCATGGTGAGCAGAGGAAACAGGTTTTATTAAATGCATGTATATGTTGTACATGTGCTTAACCTTTATATCAATCTGTATATGCATACGAAGAAGACGTTTTGACGGTAATGTATACTTGTACAAGTTGCGGTAATGTACACTCTTTGTAGCGGTAATATATAGTTTTTGTAGCGGTAATGAGTATGAAGCGGTGATGAAAATTTTAAAAATGTAGCGGTAATGATCAGTACCTGAAAATTGAAGATGACATAAAAATATATGTCAATATGTTGCTTTTCAACATTAACTGGGTTAATAGCTTTACTTATATTAATTTGAAAGTCTTGAAATTAAAATAATTTTTAACATGTTTAAAATAAAACCAAAAGAGTTGACTTTCAAAAAACAAAACAGATACATGTATATCAAAAAGAAATAAAAAATGAAAAGAAATAAATAAAACACAAAGATGTAAGTAACACAATCAATGGAACTCCTTATTACACATTAGAAAGACCAAAGAAGATTAAATTATTACATTTTCAATGTAGTAAAAGTCTACGTTTATACTTGCAATCTTACCTCTTCGTGCAACAACCAACCCAACTATTAACAGGAGAACGAAAATCTGTAGATGCTTCATGGTGGTTTCTTTTGTCTCTTCTGATTTAGAGTTACTAAACTACTTTATTTATGTATCTTATTAAGGTGATTATTAAGGTCATCTCGAATATAAATATAGCACAAGGTGGCGTTACAGTTGCCCAAATGTACAATAACATCCGCTCGCCATTTCCGTTTAATATATTGTGCATGGATTTATATCCTTCTTAAGCCAAAGCCATATGCAGGTTTATGCAATTTCATCACATTGATGAATAATGAAGAAAATGAAGTCCATTTGTACTTTGGCGGATTATCCACAGTAGAACAGGGGGAGGTTCAGCTGGTGAGTATAATTAAACCAATAAATTACCAAAAATTAGGGTTAAAAACAACTTTTGTGCTTTATTTTATAATTTTTCCTAAATTTATTATGTTCAATTTTTAAATTTTATAGAATATTTCCTTCCTAAAAATTGAAATTTAAAATACAATATGCATGTACATATATTTGTAATTTTTATTCAGAGCCACTGACCAGATTCAATTCAAAGAGTATGGGAGAATCGGACAGAAATCGCCTGAGTGATGTTTTGACTTCGAAGGTACAACCAGCTTTTTGCAAAAGGCTTAAATAATAGTGTGAAATTAAACTTCTTTATTATAAACTTCTATTATTCATTTATCTTGGGGGGGGGGGGGTCACTACAAAATAATAACAACACGACAGTTAACAAACAGTTATAATAAGTTGTTAATACATGTATACTATACATTTGTCGGTGATCCGTGTCCCTAGGATGAAATTGAATGATGCCATGCAATGTAATACATGTTTTTCTTTTAATTATTTCCAGTAAATTTGAACAAAACAAAGCTACATTTGCTTGAAAACCCATAGGTTTTTTAATTACTTTTAAAAAATGCAAATTAGCAAATTCATAAAGCTAAGGTAAATACTGAGTGAACTGGTCCGTAAGTTTGCATATTCTGACTACATGAAGATATGTATGTTAAAAAAAAAAATAATTTTTCGAAGAAAATTCTCATTAATCTTAATACAAACATCCAGATTCCATGCATTACACGAGAAGAAGGTATATAGATTTCAAGGAAATTCGATTCATCATTGATTAGACCTCTTACATGGTTATATGTGGCTGCTTTGCCACGAGTTGGACAACACATAATCACACAGTAGTTTTATTTTATTGATACTCGAAATTTTACTTATTATAGAAAACGACGAAGTAGCTCTCCACAAATTTACATATCAACAAAATTGTAACCATTTTTTTTTAATTAAATGAAGCTTTGAAAACAAAGAACAAAATTTTTTGTCAATACCACGAAATTTATTTATTTATTTATTGGGGGGGGGGGGATAAATGGTGGTCTACCCGTGGTCATAAAACTGCATATATTCAAAATACAATTTCCTTTCCACATTAAAAATCTATTTTTTATATAGCGTAATTATCAGAAAATTATCAGAAACAAAATTTCTGATTTATAAGAAAGTGCGAATACACAAAGTTTCAGACCATAATTTTTATGCCCCCGTAATCGAAGGTCGTGCCCCTCTTCCCCCCAATAATTTTGCCGATATATAGAATACTATAGAAAACTATAGAAAACCCTCAATAAAAACGTCTGATGACCTTTTTTTTTAATTTTACTTTGCTTTCAGGGAATTTTTATTTTTGGTAGTTGATAGTGCCCCCATACTGAAAATATATGGCTGTGCCCCCCAACTGAAATTGCTTACTACGGGCCTGCTTCACATGTGTAATTCTTGTGACAAGGCCTACCTTTGGATACCAACAACTTTGACTTTTTGACATTGACCTAGGAGTGACATATTTTTGAAAATGTTTAACCTTGGCCATAACTTTTGAACGGTTGGTGCTAGGGCTTTCATACTTCACATATGTGTTTCTTGTGACAAGACCTTACTTTGGATACCAACAACTTTGACCCTTTTACCTTGACCTTGTAGTTCGACCTACTTTTGAAAACCTTTAACACTGGCCATAACTTTTGAACGGTTGGTGCTAGGGCTTTATATTTCACATTTGTATTTCTTGTGAGAAGGTCTTTCTTTGGGCTCCATTAATTTTATTTTAATATTAATAATAATTGCATTTGAGAAAGCTTAACCTTCGCTGTAAGTTGCCATACGGGGGCATCAGTGTTTCACAAACACATCTTGTTATACATTTAACTTAGTATTGCATTGTCGCAATATGTCACAATAAATTCAGAGAATTAAGGACAAAGATACAAACCTTTTTTTCAAAAATCATGAAAATAATTTAATCTGTGTTTATCAATGTTTCTCAATATTGTCCAATGAAAATAATTAAAAAAAATTCATAGATCTATAAAGGTGATGGCAAAATTAAAGAAATTTGAACATGACAAAAAGTTGTGTACAATTTTCAATATTTTAGAGCTTTAGCACATGCATTATTTGGAACCAAACCAAGTCCAAAATAAACCAATCCATGGATTCAATTTTTTTGTTTGTAGTATGTGTCCTTATGAAACTGTTTTGATTTTTTCAACAGTTACAAGCCTTTCGTCATGCAGTGAGACGAGTCCTTATCTTGATGAAACTAAGTCGTCCTGTGACTTCAGATATAGATGCCCGTCCCCCGTACGCCACCCCAGCCGGAAGTCCAAAAAGGTCTAATACTAAAAGACTTCCGTCAGAACAAGAAATACGCGAGGCAGAACTGTCACATGAATATAACTACCCAGACTTATCACTGCTGAGAAAGGAGGTCAATCAGCCACCACCTCCGGATATCACCACACTTCCAAGAAGCCATGCAAAAAGAAAACAGAATGGGGAACGATGTGGTGGTAGTCAGCTCGGAAGGTCGTTGAGCGATCTCTGTACCAATAGCAGGAAGCAAGCAAAACCACGCAAAAATGTGTCGTTGAAAGCCAAGTTATTTGAGAACCCCGATGAAGATAGCGATTCGGAAGAATATTTGTACCCTACGCCATCACCAAAACAACCGCAGAAGCATTTCTTTCCACCAAATTCAAAACCTCCATTAGCAAATAAGCCATCCTTTCTGAAAAAATCACCAGCTCAAGCCACTGCCATGAACAACATTAATCATGTAGACAAAGCCCGCAACTTTCTTTCCACGAACTTGCAGCGAAAACTGGAGATTGCAAATAAGCCATCTCCACGGCCCTGGAAACCACAAGAACACCAGCCCACAAACATGAACAATCCCCCGGACTATGTAGACATGGGCAATTTCAGAGATAT